ATCTCAGGTGAATTCTTCCAAATCTTCATTTCCTTAGGCAGATAGTTACAACCACTGTAGTGGTAAAATATGTGTCAAATGCCTGCCCATGTATTTCCTGGAAAGTTAACATGGTCATCTTTGTCAGTATTTTGCTGTATTTGAATTTTACCCATAGATATTTGCTACAGTTGACGGTCTATCAACAATTTTGGTGACTGATGGTTCATTGCAATTTTTCTCACAAAGAAAAAGAAAAATCTGACAGTAGCATCAGAAAATTTTAAAATAATACAAACAGCAATTGGCAGTACAGAACAATCAAATAATCATAATTTAATTTCTAATTTGTTCTAACATCACCATTCTGTGGTAGGATATGTGGAAACTTTAAGGAGTTTTGGGTGTGAGAAACTACTGGGAACACTTACTTAATATGCAGAATTACTGTATTTCTGAGTTATTTCAGATGTAACTTCTGCAGTATATAAGCACTGAGCCTGTACCACAGAATCTCACTGAACCTGATAAAATTAATTCCTATTGATTTCAAGATATCCATTAGGTAGTCCCTGTAACTAGCTACTTAAATCACAACAAAGTAATTAAACAAGCTGAAGCTCAAATTTAAAATCCAAAGAAAACAATGCTGTTAGTTACTTCCTAATCCTGAAGACACCTAAGCATCTCTAACTTTTAGCTTCAGCCTCCGGTGCATTATTTTAGACCTCAAGAGGTTGTACCTGTAAACAATAGTTTTCTCTAAAAGTAAAAATAATAATGTAGAAAGACATATTTGGCAACACTGATGAAATACAAACCGATATAAAATAGATTCTAAATGATTATAAATAGTGATAGTTAATGTACAATACTTGCAAATTGCTATCCAAATGGTTCTTGTTATGTCCATTTCTATGACATGCTACTGCAGCATAACAAAAATCTGGCTTAATCTCAGGGGTTATTTTAATCTAGAGTATTTATTTCTGTACTGCATGTGGAGATAGGTTATTTACAAACAGTAGTTAGTTTTGGCACATAAAATACTCAAGCAAACAAAGATTACTGGAATTAGAAAGAAAACTTCCAGTAAAATGAAGATTGAACTCTCAAAAGTTGAAATGATACCTAAACTAAACATGACTAATCTTCAGAGATTACATGTTACTATCTTCACTTTTTGTTTTTCAAGTGCAGTGGTAGCAGAGTGTTTAAAATCACATTTCTGTTCTCCATAAGTTTGTAATAAGTTTTCTGATACTACTTTTGCTTTAGCAGACCCATGGTTTGAGTTTCTGTGGGGTTTTTTAGTAATATTAAAATCTCTCCATTAAACCAATTTTGTTTTGTTGTAACTGCTCACTTAGATCCACTATGAAAAGACAGCCTTGCTGAATTTACCGGAAACCTAAAATTGGCATAGAAGCTGACTTGGCCCCTATGTTTTAATTAGGCATTTTCTGTGTATTACTATGGTGGTTTATTTTCTCCACAAGAACAAGTTGGTGTGAGCATTGCCTTTGCTGAATGTTCCTTTCCTGCTTGAAATCATTATGTTTGTCCAGGGATGACCAAGTAAATTATTGTTTCTTCATGGGATGAAAGAGGAGAAGGAAGCAGACAAGAACAAGGAGATAAAAATACCACCATAAAATATCAAAACAGCCAAAAGATGAAGTCCAAGTTACTGCATATTTCATTATGTCAGGAAATATGAGAAAGCAGACAAGAACATATGCTGTCTGTATTAGTACATGCAGTATTTATGCATCTTTTAAAAATAATGCTTAACACTTAATTTACAAGAAAAAAAAAGTTGATACTACTATTAATATAAAGAATTAGGTTATATTAAAAGATGTCAATAAGTTGCAGGGAATGAAGTAACTAATCCATGTGGACTTGGCTTCACGAACAGCCAGCAACTTTCCACTGCACTCTATGCAGTGTAAGCAGGTAGGCCAAATAGATAGGAACATGCTATAGATGCTGAGCAACGTTTCTTTAATCTCACCACCAGTGCCTCTAAAATACAATATTCTTGAGGGAGGAGTAAAAGAGGTAATATTTCATCTGGTAATTAGACTCCCATAAAATTGTTTCTTGAAAGTCAGGTTTTTCTACAGTTTTGTGATCTCTAGCTCTAGTAAAAACAAAAGGCAGAGCAGCAAAACACCCAGTAAAATTAAGACTTGGTAACCTAATTTTGGATTTATCATTCCTTTGTTTTCAGAGTTAGGGCTTCAAGTACAATTTGGTAGAACTGCGGTGCAAATAAATGAGGTGCAAGTAATTTGGAGGAAAGAAATTAATTTGTTCAACAAGTTGTTAGAAGAGCTGAATTTCTGCTTCAGCAAAGAAGAAATAGCTCCCCTGTCTTATTGACTTTAATATTGTTAACTAAATGTGAGAAGCTTTGGCTCATGCCCACTGAGTTCAACGAGAAACAGATTTGAATCCACAACATTTTGGATCAGGCACAAAATTATTTTGATGGCTTCAAGAAGTGTATAGGACTATAAGGGAGCACAGCTGATAAAATGAAATCTTGGTTTCACTGAACTCAATGGTAATTTTACTGTTCACTTGGAAAAAGCTGAAATGGTTCCTGATACATTAACTTATTTCAGTTAAGCTAAAGTGTGATTGGGTGGGCTGGCTACGGAAAGCTCATGAAGAAGAATAATAAAGAAAATATCTCCTTCATCAAGACTTGAGTTTTCCTACCAGCAAGCTATTAAGAATTTTTAAGGTTTTACAAAAAGAACAGAAAGTGAAGAAGCAATTCTCATTCCTTGAAAATGTAAAAAAACCCTAGAGTACTTTTTTTTTCATTTTAATCCATCCTGTCAAATACAAAGGGTAAAATTGACTCTTTTGCATATACAAACACCAAGCAATTTCACAGGACCAGCATCAGAAAAAATACATTTCTACCAATGATAGGATCATGTATTGTGCTTCAATACAAACCCATCTTCAGTTATTTAACACACTTAGTGGAGTGGTGTAGTAGTCCTGTTATGTGGGAGCCATATCACTGGCTCAATGTAATTGCTGCTTTCCTGGCCCTTGTGACCTTAATTCCTCTAAAAAAAACTGTGTTTTAGAGATGTACCCACAAAGGACAACTAAAGAGAAGAAAATGCACCAAGGTGATCAGGAGTAACAACAATGAAGAATTAAAAATCTATCATCATTGTGCTTTTAAAATTACATATAACTTATGTGGATAATGATATTAAAATAGCTTCTTTTTCCATACTTGAATGCCTCTGCAGTATAGTCCATTATTTCAAATTAACAGTGGAAAAGGATTTAGCTGGAAAACTTGCATGTCTGAGACCAAAAGAAAGCTTCATTAGTATAGTTCTTTACAGTCCTTCTGTTAAAATTTTCAGTGATAAAAATATAATTATCCTTTTTGAAAAAAGACGACAAAACTGGGGACAAAACCAGGGACATAGTGGAATTATGGAAGATCTAGATTACAACTCCAGTAGAAAATGTGGGGCAATTGGATAGGAATATAAAAGTATCAGTTCTGACTGAAGCATGAAACTTACGCAAACAACGGGGGAAAAAAAGCCCACCCTTTTTAGAACATTTTGAGATGTGTGAAAACTACAAATGCTAGAACTGTGAAAGGGAAACTGGGAATTCGATCCATGTGTTCTGGAAATGCCACTGCCCACAGCTAAATTATTTTTGGAGGACAGAACAGAGAACAGAAGAACAACTGCTAAAGCTGTTATAAACACAGGGTCTCCCTAGTGATGCAAAGATCTTACCATGGCAGATATTAATGAGTGACTATTACCGTCTGGATACCATATATGAAGAAAGCATCTTTGGTATGTTCTAGAATACTAAGGAATATGGTATTATTTATCAATTATCTCTCTAATTCTCTGAGGAGAAATCATTCTGCTAACTCCAAGGGGAAAAAACATTATTCAGGGTGGTTCACACATTGATTTTCTTCATATAGCTGAATATAATTTAAAAGCCTGAACTGATCTAAGTAATTCTACTGTATTAGGGAAGATCATATTTTAAGCTTGGGAAGCTCTTTATCATGGTATATTTTTTTCAAAGTGAGATATTTTTAAAATCTGCAACATATGAACTAGCAGTAAGACCTGTGGACAGATTCTGCTACTGCTTCTCAAACCCAAAAGCACATCATGCTGATTACAAGAGAAATAATTATCAATTAGCTTGGGCTACCATTTACTTGTTCACAGGAATGTGTGACTGGAAGGAATGAACTTCATGCATTCTGCTATCAAAGGCAACCAAACCTTATATTTCTATTCTGTACTTTTAGCAAGCAGAATCTTCATACCAGTTGGCATCTTCCACTTCCTACCTGAAGGCTGACCCTGGACACTTACTCCTCTGACAATTCGATAGCCTGCAGTTCTCACATTCAGTTTATTCTAGACTGTCAGTACTCATTTGTACCAACATTATCCTTCTAGCATGCAACACACTCTCATAACTAGTTCACACGAGTAACTCTTGCTACAGAAAGGGATAGAGATCAACATAAAGAGCGATAGATTTAAAGAAAATAGTATGTACATTTTCTTGGCCATATCAGCAAAGTCTCCCTGAAAAAGTTAAAAGATGTTTATAAAAAATTCTAAATGGTGGCAACTATACACCATCTGTTTTGTTCTGGTTTAGAAAGGAATTGCATCGATCCATGATGTTCTATACACCACCCCTCCCTCACAACAGCCACTAAGCAAAACCTAGCAACAAAGTTGTGACTATCATATTGAAATAGTCAAAAAATTTGTTTCTTCTATTACAAATTACAGTTGAAAACTACATTAACAACACACTTCTGGTTTGATACTAATTTTTACTCTTCTTTGAAAAAATGTCTTTGCTAAGCAATGTACGAATTGTGAAAATAAATAGTTCTCTGCACATATAATCATCAAACTTGAGCTGACTCTAAGTACAGTTTTTATTTTTCATGTCTTTATTCATTCTTTTCTACATAGTATTTGTGGAATTCAGCATCTGGAACGAGCAGGAAACAGGTTGACTCTCTTTGACTCCCTTTATTTCTGCATAGTGACATTTTCCACTGTGGGCTTTGGGGATGTTACACCCAAGATATGGCCTTCAAAGCTACTTGTTGTCATTATGATCTGTGTTGCTCTTGTGGTGTTGCCCATACAGGTAAATGTGTATTTTTCTTCTCTTTAGAATTGTTTTTAAAACAAAAGAATAATAACAAATAATTTATTGTTACTATTATTATTGCATATAAAATGTCAGAAAAAATAACCATCTTCTATACCTCCTATTCTGGTTTGTTGGGTTTTTTCCTTCCTTTTTCCTTTGTCTGTTCTCCTATAGTCTAGATTTATACTAAAAAACCAGAGCACTAATAACAGTTTTCAAGTGCTGGTGAAAGCTTTCTGTTCCTGTCATGTACCACAGAGCCCTTCCTTCATCCCAAGACATGGGTTTGTTATTAATGGAGCAATTTAAAAAGAAAAAAAAAGAAAAAAAACAAAACCAAAAACCTAGTAGCCAGCACTTTCTTTATGAGTATAGCATTTCCTCTGCAGGCTCTCCCTGTTTCTAATCTTGGTTCTTTCCACTTCCTCTCTTACTCTTACAGCTCAGTGCTAACTTGAAAATAATCTCATTAAATCTGCAACTCAAGCAAACTGGGTTCACAGCTGTGTATGTCGGTACACACACACACAGAGCCAACAGCACAGTTAGGAATTTTTGATGCCTACTGAAGTTTAGGTCTTCTAACAGTTTCAACAAGAAAAGGCTGATTTATGAAAATCCAAGTCTTTCAAGGAGTCAATCAGTTTCATTAAATTTGTACCAAACATTTCTCAGCTCATCAGGTGAGGCTTGATGACAGAAACCCTGAGATTACATGGCAAGCCCTGCCAAGATGTTAACTGTTCCACACTTGGTGATCACCCAGACCTCGTGCCACAAAAAGGGGTTCTGGGGAGACATTGTGCATGCTTATCAAAGCTTATAGGAGTTCTGCTAGACCATGAAGCTCCAAAGATTCTCACACAGTCATAGTTTCCAGACTGCTTCTTTGACAGTAAACTAAAGCTCACTGTAAGCAGACAACACAGAAATGCTGGGAGGTTGGAAGCTCAAGCTTTTAGCATTAATTTTCTTGAAATTATTTGAACATTTTAATTATACCTAAATATTTAATGTCTGCATACACAGACATATGCACCAACACAATTATATTCCCACTCAGTGGAAATTCAGTAAAATATATATTCTATTGAAAACTAAAACATGCTTTAAGAAATTTAATTGGGAAATAGAAATTTCATCTTTCAGGTAGTTCTGATATACACTTCAGGGATAAGAGCTCTGCATTACCAGTAAATAACCTGGCATCTACTGCCCTTTCACATAAATTTACCTATTATTACCTACTTTATTTTATAGCTTTGTGGTGATAATGGGGCTTCATATAGTTTTCCATACACCGAATGTGGGAGGCATTCTCTCCTGAGCTTTTGTCCTGCTATGATATGAAATCAGTTATTATTCACAATTCAGTCTCTCCATCAGTTGAATGTGGATGAGAAAAAGCAGCTATCACACAGATACATAGTTAAATTGAGCTCAGTATTAAATACATATTACTTACAAGAAGCTTTGAAATGGCATTTGTATGTTTTATTACCAATTGTTACAACGGCACTGATTGTTACACTATTCTATTTAGTCTAAAGAATTCAGACTGGTAGAGCAATGTTTACCATTAGCCTGCATATATTGTTAATACAGCAAATTTGCCTTTGCCACCTGAACAGCTGCTGTGTATTTAAGTTGTATCTAAATTTATGACAGATAAAAGTATACAGAAGGTCACCTTCAGAGCATTATAAAAATCTCTAAGAAGAGTTATTGCCCAAACTAAGTAAAATGATGCTTCTATCCGAGTATCTATACTCACAGTATACACTTAAGTATGTGAAAATTTAACCTTTCATTTGAGGGAAGCATTTATGTCACATGGCACTGGAAAAAGAGAGCTCAGAGGTATAAAATACATAAAGGAAATAAGGTACAGCCTTCATTCTCTTCTAAAATCTTGAGATTTACTGTAATCTCATGATACTTTAATGATTTACCCTGCTATTTGTGTGTGAGTAGAGGTGGCTCTACTGCCGTGTTTTTCCATCACCCTATTATTCATCTCACCCACTTACTAGAGAACTTTTTACAAAGAAAGAGACATTGTGAGCTAAGGGCATCTTTTCATAGAGGCATGAGATGAACAAAGCAACATTGTTAAGTCATGATACAGTTGTACTGCACATCTGCTTGTCTATATTTCACTGACAATTGGCATCTCTTGCAGTTTGAACAGCTGGCATATTTGTGGATGGAGAGGCAAAAGTCTGGTGGTAACTACAGTCGACACAGAGCTCAGACAGAAAAACATGTTGTGCTGTGTGTTAGCTCTCTGAAGATTGACTTACTTATGGATTTCTTAAATGAATTCTATGCTCACCCCAGATTGCAGGTACTTACAGTGAAAAAAAAAGAAAATAAACTCAAAACACTGATTTTTTGCAGACAGCCTTCTGAAATGTTTTTTATTTGTAAAACTGAATTTGGGAATAGCTGACTGAATTGGGAATCTATAATTGCAATAAGAAGCTGAGATACAGTACGGAGACATTCATTTTAAATTGAGGTAAATAGACTAAATGATAGAATTGCTATCTTGTTGAATTATGCCAGTCCTTTTAGAAACAGATATTTCCATGCAAATTCCTTATATTCTACCCCAAAATAGAAAATAAATGAGAACTACTCAAATTATTTTTTCCTGTTGTTTTGGGACTGGATCCAAAACTCCTCACAAGTTAAAGCATCTTTTGGTTTTTGCATTTTGCTTTGGTTTTTTGCCAGTGTTAGGAAGATTAGATCCTTTTGGAATTGTTGAAATTAAGAAATAAATGGACGTACTTTAAAGGACAAAGACCTGAAAGATTACACACAAGAGATTTTCTTAGCGTACACATATTCCCTAGCTAATGCAAACAGATGTCATATGACTTGTTTTGATCATATAAAAGCTTATTTATATGAGATAGAAATTTGGATTCATTATCATTAGCTTTGCTACAGACCATTTCTTTTGCTAAATCTTCTCTATGTCTTTTACTAAGTTACCTGTGGTACCATGCTTCATTAACTAGCGCAAAAAATCACAAAAATACAATCCTCAAATTGCTGAGCAGCAATTTGACAAATCCCAAATCCAAAATATTCCCCAAAATAATTAGCTAGTAAGGGGCATAAGCAAATGCACAAAGAAATCCAGTTCTTTATAGATGCAAACACAACTTGAAATCCAAAATTTAGTTAACTAATCTGGCGAATGAGTCAGGCTCTGTGATACACTGGAGACAAAGAAGAGGAGTCCTAATACTACTTATATAGCCTAAAAGAGCTTATATACATTCCCTTCACAGTTGAAATGGGAAGCTGGAGGATACGGATGATGTACTGGATCCGATGCAGTAAGCTTCCTGCAAAAGTCTGTGTGTGCTAAGGAAGACTTCTATGACAAGCCTGTCCTAAGCTCTCAGTCTCTCCTCTCACATTCCATTCATCTCTCCTTTTCATATGTACACGCATGTATACTTCAGACCAACCTTACTTTTCCTAACAAGGACTGTCTATAGCACAGGAAACAGAGTTTGGATCTGCCCATTAACATAGAGGAAAAAATTTGGGGGAAGACAATTCCATTTCGATTGCTGAAAACTTCCTACATTTTCCACCTAGAATGACAGAAATGTAAATTGTCTCTAAAAAAAAATTATGCTCATATGGAAACAAAAATGTTTCTAAATGGACTTTAGTTGCCACCCTGGAGTCTTTTGTGAGCAGTTGACAACTGTCCAGCCATTTTTATTAAAGAATTAAATATTTTAAACACATGTATTCAAATAACTTTTGTCAGTGAAATTTGAGAATTATCAGAGACATTTTTGACATCCTGAGTCTCTGTTGACTCATTCTCTAGCAACAATACATGGTAACATAAAAAAATAACATGGCTATTCCCCCTTATGTTTTTGACAGGACTATTATGTCGTTATTTTGTGTCCTACTGAGATGGATGCTCAGGTCCGAAGGGTGTTACAAATCCCAATGTGGTCCCAAAGAGTTATCTATCTGCAAGGCTCAGCACTAAAAGATCAAGACCTGTTGAGAGCTAAGTAGGCAAATATTGACCAATATTGGTTTTTACTTTTGTTTCACTCATACTGTTTGATAAATAACTTTGACAAGCAACAAAAGCTGTGCTAGAAGGAACGCATGTGTATTTAGAAAGCAAGGCTCTGATATAATTTGCTTTTCTTAATATCTGAAATTTTTCAAGGAATATTTTTAAGCCCTATTTGACCAAGTTTTTCTTCACTGTCTTTTCTGTCTCAGTTTTTAAAGGTATTGAAACAGAGTGCCTGTGATTTCTTCTGAAAAAGCAGCACAGAAAATTCCAAAACTGCCAGTAATGCTAGACTTTGTTTCTGTTCATTGAGCAAAGATGGTAAACGTGATAGTAGTTCTACTGACCCACTGAAGGGGAAAAAAGTAAACAAAAATAATTATCACCCTTTGAACCCATTGCACAGTTTTGTTTTGAAGTACACACAGTGGTGTACTTCCACCACTTCTAAAAAATCCTCTCTGCCAGTTAATAGTTAATGACATTAATCAAAACACATCAGTCAAACAGTTACTCAACCCCCCTCACCATTGCTTAATCACTTGAGGGTGTGAAGGAATTCACAGTGGAATTCAAGTAGGAGGATTGTCTCTTTAAACTCTCCAAAGAGAGAGAGAAAGGTGATTCTTAGCAAATAACTGATTTAACTTATCTGCATTACTCTCTATAAGAACTTATTCAGTAACTAATATAGATATCTAAAATTAAGCCAATACCTGTCTATTTGTGTCATTCAGCCTTCTTTACTCCAGGGGAATTATTTCCAAGAATCTAATCTGTGAGAATTCTAGCGAGCTGTGTTATCTTCTCAGACTTCTGCCACTGAAAAAGCAACAACTACTTGTATATCTGTTTAAAATTTGAAAATACAATAAAGCTTTTTTCAGGATTAGGAATTTTATTTTAGAGAGAGGTTCCTTTTTTTGCTTTCTTGCTGATTTCAAGAAGGAATTCATGTGGGGGTTTAGCTTTTACACATTAGGAGAAGAAAAATTAGGCTGTTCCCTAAAGATAATCTTGAATTTCACTTATAATAACCTGGAGGTAGTCTGTGGAACTGTGCTTTTTCCTGCAGAACATGTAATTGAATGTACCTGTCATAGAATAATTTTCAACCTCTCCTGAGGAAAGAAGTGTAGTGGGAATTTAATAGAACATTTAATATAAAATATAAACCAGTACCTAAGATGTTTGCTGTATTTCTTTTTAATGAGAACATAATGTACTGAGAAGATAACAAGGCACATGGTAAATAAATAAAGTAACAGTTACCAACAACAACAACAAAATAATCAAGAAGTGTCTCATTATCAAAATTTATACATATATTATACATTAAATGCAATGTCAAAGTAACATGATAAAGGTCACAGCAAAAAGAGAAGGAATACCAAAAGTTGGCTGACTGCATAAGTAGTAAATAGTCAGTTAACTAAAGACTGTATTTTTCTTTATATGCCCTAGTACACAATTTGACTTTACAAAAGTGACATTCATTCTTGCTTCCTACCTTGGAGAGCTTCACTTTGCAAATTTTTGGTGTTCTCTGAGCATGTGCCCAGCTTTAACAAAAAAACCAGAAGGAATTCTGTCATGAGGTATCACACTGATACTTACATTGTTCATCAGCATGACTGGAAACTTTATAGCTCGTTCAGCATTTGAAACAACACAGTAACTGATTAAAACAGCTCTCATTCTCCATGCAGATTAGCACTAGAACATGAATAACACTTACCATGCTTGATTTCCCCCCCCCCTACAGCTTTCTCCCATGTTCTGTCATGACCCCAAATATTTTTTCTCTCTCCTTCCACTTTCTTTAGTGAACCATCACAAATCTTAATCCTCTTCATGTGCACTCTTTCTTTACTTTATACTTTTTCCTTTCACAAATTTCTCTTCGATATATAAAGTCCCTTTAATTTCTGCCATCCTCAAGCAGTGGAACTATTGGGGATTTTTGTCTCAGATTCACTTTTCTGGCACATAAAAATGGTGTAATTGACAAAGCTTTTTTAGTTGTTAGGACATTAATAACACTTCTCTCATAAGGATACTCTGAGTTCTAATCTAATTTTTTTAACATAGATGCTATTAGTGTTTCTGTTGTCTAAATTAATTACATTCATAGGTGTTAATCACAGGTTATTATCCTTGTCATCTGTGGCTGAAATGATTCAAGAAGTTACAAAAAACATTGGGGGGAAAAAAAGTGAGTATGTTCACATGAGGTTTCATTTCCTTATGAAATCATCTATATACACTATCAATCCCAGTTACCTCATCAGCTCTCATCAAAATCTCATCTAATTTCACTAAATTTTCTTTCCTACAACTTTGCTAAAGACCGTATCTTCCCAATTCTGCTCCCATGCTTAGCTGAAACTACTCATACAGATCCCATGATTTCTTCCTAATCAGTACTCAGAAGCGGCCTCCTGTCCTCACTTCTTGTCCACGTCAGCTGCATTTGACATTAATATTTTGGATATATTGATTTGCCTTTGTTAAAATGATTTTTTCATTTCAGGTACTTTAATCTTTTGAGGCTTCCTCTGTTTTCCTACTGCTAGGTGCCTATGGGGAATCTACAATGAGCTGACTATCCTTCTCTTTTCTTTATACTTTCATTGAGCGATCTCACAGAAAACACACAAACTTAATCACTACTTCTATAGTCAAAAACTAAAAGGTTGGCCAAGCTATCTGACATCTCATTATGGATATCTATTTATCAATTTTAGTTTAGTTGCAGACAGTTGTAAATAGATCTTAATTTTTGCTACCAAAATAAAACCAGTATCCCACTGTGGATCATAAGCTTGGAATCATATTGTAGAGCATCCTATGTAGACTAAGCCTGCATCTTGCAAGTGTTTTCTCACACAAGTTCTCATTTTTGCCCCACTTAAAACTATATTTATGTTCTTGACATATACCATCTCAACTCCCTGAACCCTTGTTTCAGAACACTCTAGAAATATTATTTATGTAGTACATCACTTTGCCTCATTGCAGTCCTTCCCTGGCTTACCCTTTTTATTGCATCAAGGAGTGACCCCTTATTCTCACTTAGCCTGCAACTCCCAGTTCTTACTGAGAGGTAACCTTCCGATAAGTCTATAATGCTATTCTCTTTCTCACATACAACAGATTAACATACAAATCCCATTGTGATTTCACCCACTCTGTCCCTTCAATCTAGGATTACTTTCTCAGAAACATCTGTAAAATAATCCCAATATTCTCCATCACATCCCCTCTTCAGTCAGTTCTCTGCTCTGATATCTAGTGAGACCATTTTCTACCATGATAATTTTTCTATTCAGGTATTGTCACACCATTTCTTCCTGTTTCCCATGTTTGCACATACTTTTGTTGTCCTTTGTCATGTCACTTCAAGCTTATATGGCAAGGACTGTCTTTTTGTTCTGTGTTTGTACAGTACCTAAAAGAACAGGCTCTCAGTCTGAGCCTAGGGTCCCAATGGCCTGAACTATTACTGACAACCACCAATTCCATTTTCTAGCAGCAGAGAAACCAAAGATTTAGGAATCTCAGGTCCCATTCCAACTCCAGAATGGAGTTGCTGCAATGACCAGTGAATTGCCTGTTCATTTTCCCCAGCTTCTGTCTCACTTTTCCCCTTCCCAGGGCACCCATTCTGATCATCCTGTTTCTCTTTGCCCAGAAAGTCCTGTCTTCCCAAGGAGGTCAACCAAGTCCCTATTTCTTTACTTCCACGTACCAGTAAGTGAAGTAGGATTCACTGGAGAAGGATATCAAGATCTGAGGCAAGAGAGGAAAAGCAAACTTTGATGAAACCTTTAGTCAGATAGTTTTTCTCCACACTTCCACCACCACTCTTTATTACATGACCAGTTGTACCCCCCAGAGAAAAATTATGCATTAAAAGTTCTCAAAGAGACCATGAACTGAAAATAGTTAATTTAATGCATACATACACAGAAATGTTTGTTATTTATCCCTAACGCATTATTCTACTACATCTATCCATCTTTCCACTATCACTAAGCAAGACAAGTCTATATTATCTGCCCCCCTCATTCATTTTTATCAATAATAACTTGTACATATCATACCCTTATACACTATGCAGACTGGTGCTATTTATTCACCTTTTATACTCATGGCAGATAAATATTTATTTTGCAAATTAAGTGTGTTTGAGGCCACCCTGCTTTTATTATTTTGGCACAGCTTCTACTAGCACCAGGGAAAGAAAGTTTCTCAGAACCTAGTCAAGAAGTACTGGTACACCATGAGTTAGTGCACAAGGCGACTGCTGCTGACATTCAGATAATGCATGAGAACAGACAGACTAAACTTTCTCTGTATTCTGTTTCTATAAGCACACAAGACTATAAACTGTGAAACACAAGTCCACATAAGTATTTTGTCGGTATGTAACAGGCTTGTCTCCCCTCTTCTAGAATGGATGATGCTGAAGCTTGTTTCATTCTGAGTAGCCGCTGTGAGGTGGACCGGATAGCAGCTGTAAGTTTTGATGAAATAACTAAGAACATGCATGCTATTTATACTGTTATTGCCCTTATTCCCTCTCAGGGACTGAGACTTCTTCTGTGAACAGAAGATTAAAATTAACTGATTTACACAGAGATTTTGTATGTGGGATGAACTTCTTGTCTCAGTTAAGATAATGAAAAGGTTTCTCTTGCATTCTACAAGGCCAGGATTTCACGAATTTATGAAACATAATCTAATGGCTCATTTCACATGACATATCTACTTCTGCTTTTTTAGAAAATAAGTTACATGACCTACCTACCAAAGAAGTTAGGATTTTACAGCACATTTCAGTTGAACTTCTATCTTTAAATGTAAGAATTTATACATTCTTTCAGGACTTAAAAAAACCTGAAGTACTGTAAGATTACAGTACTTTCAAAAAACAATTTTCATGCTGAATAAAGTAAATTTTTATCAGTTCTCTCCTTTTTTATGGAACAATGGCAGAATACCATATAAGCACTATCATGGTACCTTATAGATATATTGATACTTGGTCATTAATCACTCCAAAGGGTAGTACTCTGTCAAAAAAGTTTTATTCAAATTACCTGGACTAATATCAGTGTTTGCTCTAGATATCCAATTCAAAGACTTACATTTATTAAAACAGAAAAGAGAGATATATCAACTGACTGGTATTTCCATTCAGAACTACTGAAGTATGGAAAGTTTACTACTAACAAAGTAAAGATTAAATTCAACTTTATAAATTAATTTGTGACTAATACCAAATAACCAATATATCTGAGAGTATTTGACCATTTTTCATATTGGCCAATTTTAAACATGAAAAATGGCAAGATTCTTTAAATAAGTTACTATGGTTTTGCCAATGCCACTAGTTATTTGCAGTCAGGTAAGTTACTGTCCACAAAGGAAGACTACTAATATAAGCCTCTACTCAGCCTGTGATAAAAGAATAAAGACTATTTTAATATGAACTAGAACTCTTCCAACTAATGAAATTACCTACTGATCACAAATACCCAGGAAAAAAGTCCACTGAGGAAGGACTTATGAACACAACTTTAAATTTTTCACCGTGAGCTGCATGCTAAATTATTGCAGTCACCTCTATTCAGTTCGATCTCGAACCCCAAAGGAAGATCAGAATAAGTCTGAATGTTCACAAAGTTGAATTAAGATGCTTACAAGTTGCCTAACAAGATCAAACTAGTGTTTATAATTTGGTAATTATGTTTTAAACTATCTCAATTAAAAAATATCATTTTGCTACTACATTATAAGAAATAGCAATTATTTTTCTAAATGTTAAAAATAGGTACAGTAAAACACAGGGAACAAGGGCTTTGCATTATGTACGTAGTATTTCTTAATATATTCTCTATCACTTGCTACCATTACCTCATCTGCCATCAAAACTTAGTTGTTTCCATACCTACATATATGGCTTATGAGAGAAGGAAGAACAAAAAAAGCAAAATAAGCTGCAGCTAGCAAGGAAAAAGGATTATTTCCTTGCTAGGCAAATGAGCCCCCAGAAGCAAATTGTATCAAAAATAACTTAATTTTTTGTAGACTATCAGCATGCTGTAAGAAATATTTTATTCAAAGCTAAAGATCCTGTGCTAGACCCATCACTTGCAGAAAGCCACTGAACTCCCTGAGAAATAAATCTGTGCTCCTACTATAATATTTAAACTTACTGAACTAAGAGCTTTGAATTTGATTAATCAGCAATAGACTCCTGAAAACACACTAGCGAAAGCCACTGAATTGGCAGCAAGTAATCCTGGAGTAGTCAAGTAAGGCAAGCACTCAGAATGTACTGTTTGGAAGTGACAGAGGTGCTAGGGTATTTAAGGATAAGAACAAGGAACAGTTCTTGCAAGTACCTGGGAAAATACTGGTAACTTCTTCTGTGAGACTGAAAAATATCAAAAAGCCAAACTGCCTTGCCTAAATTAGCCATGAAGTTCAGAATAAATCAGCTACAACATCTCGTTTCACAAAATATACTTGACAGTTGTGAAATAGTTAGAAATGAGAAATCCCATACAAGCAGAGCACGTGATTTACATTGCACTTGGTAGGTTTATGCAGCTTTAAGGACAGCTGCACCAACATAGGATTCACTTAGAGGTAAGCTGTTCATCTCTGCTCATAGCCTCTCCAGAATTTATACAAAGAAAGGGCAATTTTCCATTCTGCTGAAGTCTCCTACAGGGAAGACAGTGGACTCTACATGGAGTTGGTCAAGCAGGACCTGCCTTTCATGAACCCGTGCTGGCTGGGCCTGATCCCCTGGTTGTCCCGCACATGCCCTGTGAGCACCCTCAAGATGAA